GAGAGCACGCCCAGAAACTGTACCGCGCCCGACAACCACAAACCGATCATTTTTTGCCGATGAAGCCTAGGGATGCTGGGGTAGCCATCAACCAGTCATTGCCAGATGCGGGGGCTGAGGCTTATGGCAGGCTGGCTGATTGCATGCCATAATACTTCTGAGAAATAAGGGTATAAGCCCGCATTGGACTGTCACCTAGATGGGTCGAGTGCTTGCTTGCATTTTAGAAACCTGATAAGTCTGCTTCTCGAGTGCACAACGCCCAGACGCTCGCTGAACCGGATTAATAGAAACGGCACAGGTCTTAGCGTCAAATTTCTTCCAAGGCCACAGATTTAAAAAAATAGGGCATGGCGTGCTTCCCTTTCTGTGACGACCATTAAGCAGGCAAAAGCTATTCCAACCCGTCTTGCACATGTTTAAAGTACTGCCTAATTGCTGAGCCCTTGCCGCTAGGCGGTCGCACGCGACAACTTCAGCCTGTAGTTTCTAAGCGAAACAGAGATCCCATGTGCATTCCTGCACTCAAGATACATCGTTAAGCTCGTGCGCATGTGCCCATATGACCTTTCCTCGCCCGACAACGGCCGATACTGTGTAAACCCGAGGACACAAATCAGCCCCGCCTCCTCTGCCCCACAATGAGGAGTTAACACTGGCAAAAGCAGTAACAGCATTTATTCGTTATGCTTGTGTACAGTTACGGTAAAAGAATATCAAAATTATAAAAAAATACGCCGGTATCTAACCACGGAAGTCTGTCCTCTGAAAGCAAAAAAAGAAAACATAGGTTAATGTAAATCACGCAAAACGAATGATCTTGAAATCGCAAAACGGCGCTGTATGGGTAGTTAGCTTGCTGATGATAGGAAAATTGGACAACGATCTAGGCATGCAGAGGCGTAGATGAGAGCTCATAAAGTGCGGACACTTTTTGATCTTTCAGACCGGTGGTTGAGCACTGACTGGGGACGTACAGCATTCTCGAGAAGGCTGTTAAATAGTTTTAAACTGTTCACGGTTTGTGTCATAGTTTTTCCATAGACGTACGGCTCACTGAGCGAACCACGAATTCAACCTGATGCGGTGTGAGAGCACAAATACACGGAGGCCAACCGAAACCAGGGCGGTAGAGCGAATGTGCCTTATGCGACTCGATGTGAACCAAGTAAACCTTAGTCTGGCACTTGTACATACAGTGGATGACAGTTAACTAAGTTGACCTGCTAAGTACTACAAGTAATAAGGGTTTCCTATAATGCCTTACCCAAGGAGAACTGCAGATGATAATTGTCCTTGACTCAGTCCTTCTTCGCCCAGCCCAGACTGCGCTCAACGGCTCGTTTCCAGCCATCCAGCCACAGTTCACGAGTCTTCTCATCAACTCTTGGAGTGAAAGTATTTGCATCCTGGCCGCTGGGCTCGTGTGTGCGGATGGCCAGAAGATGGGTGGGATCAATGCCAACAGATATGGCAGCAGCAACGGCAGCTCCCAGAGCCGTCATCACTTCGGACTTGTTGGGA